AGATCATGATATCAACTAAACGAAATGATGAAGGACATCAAGTTTCATTTTTTGTCACTGCTCGCTTGACTCACTATGTATCGATTTTTCAACCGTAAATAGAAAAAACGACAATTAAATGATATGACACTATGAATCTGTTAGAATTTTGTTCAGAATTAAATTTTCTGTATAATCCATTCATTTAACTATGCTATCTTCTTTCATCAATCAACCACTACAAGTCTCAAAAGTGTATCAATGTAATGCATATCCAATTTCAAAAACACTTCTACCTTTGAAATGCAATTGTGCATGTTAGTTGTACTGACTCATTTGATGAAGCTTTTTATGATATGCTAAACTGTTTATTTACCAAACTTACAAAAAAAAATATTCACTTGAGAAATATCAATTGCATTGTACTGGAGACGGCGACTTTTTTGTTTTTTTTTGTCGCTCTTACAATACTTTGCTTAGATAAGTTATAATTCGAATCAAACTACGTAGTAACATATTCGGAATTACTTTCTTTCGTAAAAAGGTTTACCTGAGGTTCTCCATGGCGTTAAGTGAAGAAATGAAAATCTCTGAAATTCATGTGAATAACGAAATTCTAGTTCTGAGTTTACCAACTGCTAGTGCGACAAAAATGGGAGAGAAGATATAATAAAAAAAAAGTCTTTTTGATGGAACACATTTTCTAACGTAACCTCAAGGAAGATTACGAATGAGTGTCTTGACAAAAGAATAGATAAACAACAATGCAGGCCACTAATAACAGAAACTAACATTTTTAAACTAATGATACTTACATGCAAGTACATTAATACGATTTCACTTGACTACCTTGCGGAGCCACTCGACGTGAACTGTCCTCATGTTAGATCTGTATCCTTACCGAATAAATATTCTTCCATACATCCATCTATGAAATATCTCTTGAAATTACCCTCGGTTGTGCATATTCGAGTGGGAAGTTGTTTTAAATTATCAGAATTTATCGATGTACTCAATCATGCACCACATGTTGATTCGATTGAATATATTCAAGTGCTTATCACGAAATGGCATTAAATTCTCAAGAAACAATGAATTTTGACTGTACGCTGTCCATTCCCATTGGAAAACTTCGAATTAAATCACATGGAACTCTATCTAGTCAAGCTGTGTCAGTTTCCTGCCGAATATTTGCCGAACTCGAACAACTTGAAAATCTAATACACCATCTAATGAAAATTTGATCGACGTTGATGTTAATGAATGGCTTCGCTCAAATACAAAGCGTGCTGATTTGATTGCCAACATAGTTTGATAATATCTGTTGGTGTAGAGATCGATAAGAGATTGAACTAACCGTTTCTATTACATAAGTAGGCGACTATTTTTACATAATAATGTAAAATATTCGTATGCTTCATCAAAATGTTTGTATTCTTAAAATCAAGTATTGACTAATGAATGACCTGTCTCTATTTGTTTATTAAAACTTTTGATCAAATATATCCTATGTTCATTCAACTGGTTATTGGCTTCATTAATGATATAACATACATTGTTAAAGATCGTTGCAGATTTTCACAATATAAATTGTTAACGATATTATAGTGTTCTGTGAACAGTAAATTTCAAAACGTTTTAAGCGAGAATACTACGGCTCAATTCTGTTAAAGAGATCTTATGTAAATGCTTAGTCTTTATCTACATGAAGTACTAGAAAAGTATTGTTTTTCTAAGCTCTCCTAAATAACCATAATTTTACTGCTAATGTTTCATTATAAAACATGGACATATACAGGATTAGCAGCGATAATTTAGCTCTTTAGGTGCAATACATTGTTGTATTCTTCTTTCATTTCTTTTCGATTAGTAACACATCATTTTCGACATGACATTCGAATTGTCATACGAACAGTTTTACACTAGTCTTTTATTCATAGAAAAATCTAATGTAGGTTAAAATTAGCCTGACTTGCTGTGGTCTAAATCCAATTCATATGAAATCACTGGCAAAAATAGAACGAGCCATCAGATCTAAACAGCTGAAATATTGTATATAATCCGAAATATGTCTAAGTATTATCATAGAATATTTCCATTCCAATTTTGGCTTATCAGAGAGCTTAGCAAAGTGTGATTAACTTGATCAATTTTTATTACATGCTCACTGTTTACAGTCTGCAAAGTAAAAAAAAAAGAAATATCTATGTTTTGATTGATCAAACATTTGGCATAAAAGATAAAATGTGAAGAGAAAGTTATACTCACTATCTGAGATGGGTGCGGGTATGGATCACAGTTTTGGTTAGACATCCACACCCATACCCTAGTTTTCATTCTTCAACAAGCTCAGTAGGTGACCATGTTTCATAATTTTGAATAGATCTAACTGACTGCACTGAACAAGATGTTTACTCTTGCAGCAAAAACCAGATAATAGTAGAATTTAAATAAACAAAATCAATATGTACTCAGTAAACAATCGTAGCGAAAATCGTTCTAGTTGTTCGATTTAACAAATGAAACACGTTTCGATAACGTCATACTCACGAAAACGAAATTTTCATTAAAATACCAAGGCATGAAACGAAAATTCTTAAGCTATTTATCTGAACCTTCTTTTCTTGTCCAGTTTTTTTCTATATTTACAGAACTTTTCGTTCCCTCCATTTACCGGACGTCTTTTATAGTTGCCTTCTAATATTGAAAGAAGAAAGAAAACAATGATCACTAACGAAGACCGTTGGCAGAAATAGGCAATAGAATGCATATTCGGAAGCTGAACTACTTGAGTATTTGCGAACTAGATTTCTGCATGATTGTGGATGCGAGCCAATGAGTCTTAGGAAAATCAATAGGGCTCGCCGATTTGTAGAAGTCACAATGGATTTGTGACGAGACATCATGAAGTAGGTATGCTATACAAGGTTCTACCAGCTTTATTTCCAAATGTATCTTCAAAATGGCGTTTTTGAAAAGTTTTTAACAAATTCTTCGGATGCAACATTTTCCAATTGTTACTATTCTATCACATATTCGATTATCTGCAAGACAGAACTAAATGAATCAATATTAGCCAAAAGTCTACGTCTATCGCTAATGTCTCTGATGCATTATCAGGTGATTATTAGTAACATTGATAGTGACACGACCTGAATAGAAATATTATTGATTTACCCAGTACGGTTTCTAGTCCATTCTTCGGGAAAAATAGATCTATGTATGAAATTTGTATTAGACTGTTAATCGTGTTATTTTACCGACTTACGATTGGTGTACACCGCGTCTTCGAGGTGTTATTGTCAACAAAATGAAAAGACTACAAAATGGCTCACTTCATTCTTGTGCAGTATGAAGCGAGGTAATCGTCCAGGCTGCTCTGTTTCTTTTTTCCTTTCTTTTTGTTGTTTGCTTGAAAAACAATCATACCATACTTGAAACGTTTCATGGTTCTTACATTAATGTACGATCGAAGAAAGAGTAAAGAGGAATGGTTGCAGACAGAATTGACATATTTGATGGATGAAATTTAATGAAAGAGAAATATTTAATTTGTCTCAACATATTTCACGCACCTCATTCACTGCAAGTATTAAAAGAAATTATAATTGGCTTTAGAATAATAATGTTATACTAAATTAATGTTCGGTTCAAGCATTTATTGCCGGATTCGAATAAATTTGTCAATGTACTCTAGAATAATAAGATAACGTATCAACATTTTATTTTCAAAGAATAAAGAAACAGGCCAACAACATTGGCCTGGTCTGATACCCACACCTAAATGAACAAAGTGATGAAAGATCAACAGGATTATGCTCATCCGGCATTTCTGATGTTGCAGATGTGAGAACCAAATTCCCAATAAGAATATACTAGTTTACTATAACTAAAATATCTACAATGCAATGGATAAGTTTTTCAAAGATATTAGTACGATGCATTGCATTGAATTGCTATCAAATTTCATAAAGCTATAATTCATTTGAAACAATAATACTACATTAACAATGATTTTTCCTCATGTCGGTAAACTTATTCGAGTACTCAAAAAAAAATTGTTCTGAAACTAACAATATGATCTAATTGAAATGAACTTTAAAAATATTTTCTTTTCTGTTCCGTTACTTAACAATGAATTTCGACATTAATCTACAATCATATTTTCTTCATAAGAATTTTACAATGAGAACCTAATGTTCTGCAAACGTTCATGTACAAACAATAACAAGAATAGATCAATTTAACATTTAAAAAACACAGTTCAAAAATGCATAGTGACAAAATTGAACTGAAAATAAAATATCAATTTTGATGATTGCACACAATCATGTGTAACTATATCATTTCTTGTCTGTCCAATAATCAGATGGTATAGAAGAAAAGTCTGACAGTACTGTCTTCTAAAGTCACTCAAAAATATAAACACAGTAGTCGAAGATCCCATTGTAATAAGTCATTCCATGAATAAGTATGAATCATTTTATTGATAAAGAATCTTTATTATCTTTTGCTTAAAGTATTTCTCTACGGATAAAACTGCACTCGTCGATTTATATTGGAAGAAAAACAATAAGAAAGAGAAAAGAGGGTTTCACCAAGTGATACAAAATATGAATGCAGTCTCTCGTTACAGTGTATGTCATACTTCATTCTACGATTTAGTTTGCATAAATACAATTTCAGTGGTATCGATTATCAATGTTTTGAACCATATACCTGAAATTACTCGTCGTTGTGATGCGTCAAAGCTAAACGCGATGGATCATTCCTAAATTCAAATGATGAAATAAAACCGTGATGATCACAATATCATTGGCGTACGATATTTGATCTTTGAAATCGATGAAACGAGTTATACAGATGAGAGAATGAGAGAGATTGTATGATTAAGATATGTTTATTTTTCTCGATCGAGAAAGGAAGATTAGAAGCTTCGAGAAGCACACACACAAAATATATCGATAAGCAAAACCTATACTAGAACATTAGTGTCTATGAGATAAATGAAGATTAAGAAATCAACTACTCGGTTCACTTGACTGAACATATTCCTCCTCATTATCATCATTATCACTGCTGCTTCTATTTCGCAGAGAAGATTCTTTAGGTAATATTTTTTCGATTTCTTCTATTAGCCCATTAATATTCCTCATTGTTTGACTTTCTTGTACTGGTCGAGGATTATCCGTAGAAATTTCTTGTTCCATTTTGTCATGCTGATGACAGAGTTTCTTTGCCCAATGTAAACGTTGCAGTGCACCTTCCAAGTTATTATCCCGTCGAAGTCGTTTACCACGCTCAATGAAATATTTCGAAATATCAAGTGCCATACGTTCTAATAAGTCTGCATCAAAGTCGAACATTTGAATATATTCGATGTATTCAATGGCCCATTTAGCATTTCCCTCGACATCGTGACAGAAAACATATATGGATGGATACGGCTGATTAGTGATTATATCAGTGAAAATATGTTGATATTGTTCAATGATTTTTGGTACAATATGCCTACCCAATTGTCCAGAAGTAATGAAGAAGATGCGCTTGTCTTGATTTTTCTCAAAAGCTTCGAGACAATCCTCCTGCTTAGTAAAAGCTTGCAGAAGAAAGCGTACACCTTCGAATTTCACTTCTTGAGCTTCTGTTGCAACTAGCAAATTGTCATAATCCCTGTCGGTGAGCATGGTCCAAGTTTGATGACGTGGGTCAGTATTACTTGCGAAAGCCTTTTTCAGATGTAGGTATTCTTCTGGGTTACCTATAGATGCATCAAGCCAGAAGATCATATGATTTGGTTTCTCAGCATCGTGATTTGAAGGTATGTCGAGTGCCGGTTGTGACATTATTATCTAGAAATAGTCAAAATTTTAACGTATATAAAACTCTTCTTTGAAAAAATGTTCATTGAAGAAATTAAAAATGATCCAATTCGTAATTTTCTTTGTTTTTATTATGTTTGATAAACAAATATTGAAAAAAAAGACTTACGAATATCAACAAATACTCATTTCATATTTGAAATCATTTTCAAATACAAAATAATTTCAAAAAGACTTTTCTATCTGCCGCAAAGAACATGGTTATTATTTTCGTTTATTCGATTCAATTGAAAAAGAATTCATCAATACGGTGAATTTCTTGTCAAAATAAAAAGAAAGAAAGAAAGATGAAGAATTTCTCTTTGAAGAATGTACTTCTCGCTTTATAAGTTACTTAACACTTGAATAACTCACTTAATCTCAATAAACTTAAAATATATTACTTATCTAATATGAATTATCTTTAGCCAATTTTCAAGTAGCTTGTGATATAGGGTGCGATCCGAAGACATAAGCATTATCTCGATAAATTTTCTACAACTATTACTATATGCAGTCCTGGACAGAAGGCATACCCTGATTGACATTTTTTTGTTGAATTTCTTGAAGTCCTCATATACACTGACTAACCATATGCTAGCTACAACTATTATGAAGTGTGTCATAATATAGTTAACATACTATCAGATGACTGGCTTGAGAAAAAGACTCGTTTTTGAGATGGTCAAGGTAATTTTTTTACTGATGATACCGATGTTTGAACCAGAGATGAAAATCAAATGGAATCGAATCCTTTCTAACATATTCAGCCTAATATAGCTTCTTTCTTTATTACAGAGTGACCATATTGCATGAACGTTCGATTTATTGATTTTGTATAAAAGATAATTGCTAACAAGAAATAGCAGTTATGTATTTCATTTCTCAGTTTTGTAGTCTGTAATGTGTGTTTATGCTAGTAGTCAATTTTAGCCTTTTTTTCACATTAATTATATCGAACTTGGAAGGACTTTCGTTATCTACTTATTTTTACGCAGAAGCTTCTTATACATTATCAAAATGTTCATTATTGAACAGTAATATTCGTTTTCAAGTACCGTTTAATGGTAGCAGATGGCTAACGGTTCTTCCTTAAAAAGTATCCGACTTTCTCGGAGTTTTAAGCAATGTGTATTGCAGAAAAATTCGAACTTATACTTGTTTCTGCATTGTGCAAACTATACTTTGACACATACAAGTACATAGATTCGAGTATATTTGATAGATAATTATCATTCCCATGAAGAAAACATCCTGGAAAAAATTTAGAGTATGTAAAATTACATAATATATATATATATATTTTAATCTAATCTAAATAGAATCGAATCCACATTAATATTCATCTATTCGTTTCGGTCTCTAGTCTGAACACAGTATTTTGAGAGTATGCGTCGAGCAACATCACCATTGATCCTTATCGATTTCGAGAAAAAGATGCGTGTAATTACAAGTTAAAATAGCTCGAGTTCGCTGAATTGCTTTTGTGAAAGGCTGTAAAATTTGCTTCGACTATGTGCAGTGAGAGTTACTAGATTTATAAATTAGTCCGAGTTGAGAATGAATGCATACGTAGTAGTGAAGCTCTCTCGGGACAAGCATTTTTGAGTCTATTCTTCAGAAGATTTCTCAATTTTATGAATGGTTTCGTATTGATTTATACAGAGCAAGTTTTCAAAACTACTACTTAGTTAGTTTAAATGCTGAAATTCATGCTGTATAACTAAAACGCACAATTAGAACATATTGAGCATCAAAACACCAACTAAAAACAGTGTTGCATATTTGACAGTTCAAACTTTTGTAATCGTTGACTTTGAAACTAATTAGTTTATAAAATCTGTTCTTATCATTCTCTTAGATGACAACATAAAATAATCTATGAAACGGTACACATGCACGTTCTTTTACTTAAAAATAAAAAAAATGACTTTCATGATACTATCAATGACATTTAACAATAATATTTGCTTACCATATATGTATAAAGAATCTTTCAATAATATTCTACCACTAACCAAAAATTCAGCCAATTCAACTGTAGCGATACAGCGATATTTCATTTTTTTTATCATAGTTCTATTTGTGGGCCACACTGTATTTGAGTAATCACGATTTCCTCTACAAATCAGCGAAAATCACCGATTTTGATGCCATGAGAAACTTGACCTACATGCCGATCCGCTAAGGTAATGAGGAATGTCACATGAAAAAGAAAGAACACACCTACCGTATTTTGGTATGATGATGAGGTTTTAGTAATAAAACAGAACGAAAGATTATTATAACGAGAGAAGAGAGAAAGGAGAAAGATAATCAATAATAACAACAACTAGGAGAGAAAAAAAATAACTACTGATATGAATCAGAGAGAATATAGAAAAAAACTGACGGGAGGAAGAAATAAGCCAATGATCAATAATGAGAGTAGTCAGGAGTATTAGGATGACCTCTATTGATGCTAACAACGTCATACTTTACAAGTGCCTGATGAAGCAAGAGTGGGCACAGACAATAGAGTGCGGATGTGGGTGTGAAATGTGAGTGGATATGAGTTAAGAGAAGACTACATCCACGTCCTCTTCGAATTAAACCAAAAGAAGCATTTCTCCAATTTTTGCGAATAAGTTTTTCTTTCCTATATCTATATGATTGTTTTTTTTTGTTCGCATGCGTCAAATTATATGTACATTGTTATTCCTTGAACTGTGAAACATCATTCGTTACGTGCGAGCATTTACTAATAAAAGAACTTGAAGTGCATTTAAGTTCGCGTCTAAAAAGCCCAGATAAAATGCAAATGTTTTATTGAGCAAGCAATGAAACAAGAAGTTTTGATGTCGTCTTTTCATAATATTTTATCTTTGGCCTCTTTGCTTTGTTTTCTTCTTCCACACTTCTCCTGTGTACCAAAACCTTATTTTAAACAAAAAAAAATATTCCGAAAATTGGCAAAATGTTTTTGAAAGTATTTTCAATAATTTCCTCGGTACTAGTACAGTCTGAATATGTTTTTGAAGAACAAAGTAAGTGCAAGTTTTATTTCAAAGTTTTTCGGTCTTCCTTCCCCATACAGACCTGAACAACTCAGATTATATAATGAATATTTTCAACAGCGTTATTTTTTTCATTGAATTCAATGCTTATTATAATAAAAATGTTACATTAAGGACAAAAAATACGAAAATGAAAAGTAACATGTGAATAGCAACAATAAAAATGAAAAATATGGTGCCGTAACTAAAAAGAAAACAAAATATATGTTCGTAGTATAGGAATAAAAGACGACAGCGTTGGGTGATAATTGATCATCATTGGAAAAGAACGATCGTCTTTTAGAGATTTTTCACTCTGTTTTTTGTATTAGTATAATTAATCTAAAGAAGACATATAAATAGATCCCTCGTCCACATGCAGTCATAAATGTGTGGATATGAGTGAGCAATGTACTCTAAGTAAAGTAGTACGCTTCTTTCCCGTTTATTTTCTACTTCTTCAATTTATTATTGATTTTTAAGTACCCTCGAACTTATTTCATACGGACAAAAAAGAAACAATATCGAGCAAATATCATTACGTAGCCACGACTGAAATCCAAAAGCGACAACTAGGCTGTGAAGCCATATTTTGTTCGCGTGACAAATGAATCCGATGAAATCATGCACACAACGATAATAATGGGGAAAATATTCCATTCTATTAACAGAAAGCAATGATCATAAAAGGTAAATTATGGTACAACCAAACATTCTCTCTTGAATGAGCTAATAAAAACAATAGAGAATTTTCTAGTCGACATTCGGCATCATAATCATCGTCCACGTACCAAAGAAAAACAAAAGACAGTTTTCTCGATGTACACTCCGTGAATGTAAGCAAGACCTCACCAGACTTGGTTTGCACAAGAGGTTGTTTATGACTAGGGACGAACAAACTGAATCTTATTAGTTTCAGTCGTCCAATTACGTCAAAGTGATATTTATCGTTTGTCTGGCTTCCTATACTCAGTTTAGCAATTACATCATTTTTATGTTAGGTAGCGTTCGCGACTTTGTTTCTTATTATTATTTCTTTTTTTACGCCCTTCTTGTGAAAAGACCGAAAGGTTAACAGACCTCGAGACCTATTTATTATAACTTGATCCAGATCTCGATTGTTCTTTGGTACGACATTCTGGAGGAAAAACTGTTGATGATGATGATGATGATGAAAATCTTCCATCAACATTTTGATTTTGAAAAAAAAAGGAGAATATTCGAAAACAGTGTTGGATTGAACTGTTGGTGTGGATCTGGCTTTTATCATACGTAAAAGAAAATTTCAATCAGTCCTTTTTTGATTGAGTCGCTTTGTACATCGATGAATAAGCCTAAAATAAGGAAAATCTTACAGAACTACAGAAGAATCATTTTATTTTAAAATAAGCCCAAATTGACATAACAAACTTGAACATAGCTCTTGCTCGTTTCAAAGACAAAGCTCTCGTTAAATAATGAAAACTAGATGAACAAATGAATGATAATTAATTTGAGTATTTGTTCGTCTTCGCTTAGATGAATCTCCGAGCAGTGAAGATAAACATCGGTGAATCATCAACACTATAAAATGTTGCAGTTTTTCGTTTAGAACAAAGCTTTGCTTCATCAATTGACGAAGTTTCATCTATCATTCCACTGAGTTAGTTGAAGAATATCATTGTTTTCCGGGGAATCTAATTTATAAGAGATATCACTCAAGACTAAAAATGTTTTCATTGATATGCTTCAGTTCCGGTTCGAAGGATTTCTCTTTTTGTAATATCCATCGTAATCCCAGTAGTTTTCTTTTCGCATGATCCCGATTTTGACATGAGTGTGGATTGGTTTGAATGTTCGCATTTGATTAATTTTCACACGCACAACCATCCACGTCTTACGATATAGCCTTTTTTTTCTTTATTCCTTATCATATATCTGTTTTCTCTCATTTTCTCCCATGCTTATGATATATTAACCTAGGTAATATTGGTTGATAAATAGTTTTTGCTGCGCGCAGAACTTGATTCACGTTGAAAAAAACCCCATTAAGCATCGTTAAATAGACCACTACTATCGTCGACAAAGTTCATATTTCATCGAAACAAGTAAGCCATTTTGTGCTAACTATTTAATAGTTGTCAACACAATATAGAACGTTAGATCTGTTTAAGAATCTATGAAAACATATTTATATTTTTGATTCTAGTCGTTTCGATTCATATATCCTATTGTTGATAGTTGATTATTCAAATTCATCATACGCTCTGTCACATAGAACGATACTGATTTAGTTAAACTTTTCTTAAAATTTTAATTTGATGGTATTTTCACGACATATTTTAATTGATTTTGCGACATACATCAGAAAGTCTATGCTTCTTTCTATTGATAAAATATATCGGATGAAAAGAAAACCTAGTAAGTAATTTTAATGATAGATAAGTAAAGCAGCCTATAATTGAAATACACCCACTCACATCTCACACTCCACATGTACCCATCCACTCCCTTACACTTGTTTGGAAATAAATTTAAATAAAAAAACAGGTATATTTTTGAAATTGGCAGCCACGAAACATAATCCATAAGTATTTTTGAACGACATAGTTTATTTTTCCAGATAGATCACAGCAGAAACAATAGCTTGATATGTAAAAAGTGCTCAAAAACTTAAATGAGGCTTCGCATTAGCAAGAAAATATTGTTTTAATGAGGAACAAATATATACAAATGTTTTATCAGACAGCGACTCTTAGAGACATTAGGTTATCAAAGCTTCGTGGCGATACACAGAACTTCACTGTGTCGATTGATTGCATACCATTACATGATAGCTAAATATGACCCATGTTATCAAACTGACGTAAATTTTGACGATTAATAGGAGTACATCAGTTATTATTAGTTTTTTGTGTTTTAAAACACAATTTTAACTACTAACTGTGTCAAAACATACCAGTACGTATATATAGCAATTTTTTCTTCTTCTTTTATACATCAGTTTAATTACCTGAATTTAACACTACAAGAAAGACTGGTAGCTACTGGATTTTTCCGATCTAGTTGATGGTCAATACTGGCTTCACCACCCAAGCAGACAAACTTTTTCAAAAACGCGTTTAAACGCATGAAAAAGTGTTTTAAAAATAAAAAAGTGGGCGTTTTTATGCGTTTACACGCGTTTTCAGCCAAAAAACGATTGTAGAAGCGTATAAACACATAAAAAAAGAATATAAAAACTAGTGGTCTTTTTCATAATCGTAAACTGTCGCTGTAATCATGATTGCGATTAACGATTATGAAAAAGACCACTAGTTTTTATGTTCTTTTTTTATGCGTTTATACGCTTCTACAATCGTTTTTTTGGCTGAAAACGCGTGTAGACGCATAAAAACGGCAAAAAATGGGTGGTTTTCGCTCACAGTCGGGAACCGCGATTGTTAGCGAAAGACGCCCACTTTTTTTATTTTTAAAACACTTTTTCATGCGTTTAAACGCGTTTTTGAAAAAGTTTGTCTGCTTGGGCAGTGTATATGCTTAACAAGATCAAGTGTGCTTTATACGTTTCTTACTTTGGTTAGAAATAGCTTTGAAATTTTCTGAACAAGTTTGTTTTATAAAGTAAAAATTTTTCTACAAAATAAAACGTTTTACAGCTTCGAGCATGTTTTGAAAACCAATGTATAAGGATTTTCTCACATGTTCCAGCACTAGTTTTTTAACTTGTGCATGCACAACGATTAATCGAGACTTACCGGAATATCGGAAAAGTCACTGATTAATTGTGATTAGTCAGCGATTTTGTCCATATTAAAACAGATGATGATTAATCAACGACTGTTCAAAAAACTTCAACAACAAGTATTATTATACAAAAATACATCTTTTTTTGTTCTGTTTAGATCATCTGATTATCCCATTCAACAGCACGTTTTTTCAATAGAAAATAGCAGTATTCAAATTTCCCAAACCAGAAATTTCCGTGACCAATCATCCTATATCAGCAATTACTACACAGCGAAAAAGACATTTTAAGTAAATACCGAATTGCTAAAAATTCCTAAAATCCATATCTACGAATAAATTCCGGCAATTTTTTTGAAATTTCAGAAATTATCAGACATCAATGAAACATAATTCCGAGCAACTTCCATAAATACTACCAATATTACGTTAACTATTGAGATATCCATATTTTCTATAGTAGTAAATTCTTTAGATTTCATAATTAAGGGAGAAAGGTAAAGAAACCTACCCCCGTTGCCTACAAAAAACAAAAAGCTACAAGAATTCTTAGATATTACTGTAATTACTAGAAAATTTCAACAATTACGATAATTTCTATAATTTCTTTATCATTTATATATATATAAACTTAGAACGGGCTTAGTTGTTGAAACTTTTTAGTAACTTTGAAAATTTCGAAAGTGCTCATAGTTTTAAGGGCGTAGGGTTCCTCATCGTTTTGTTCTTATCATGAAGTTTATGCATAATGATACTATAGAAATTATGGAAATTATCGTAATTACTGGAATTTCCTAGTGATTACAGAGATTTCTGAAAATTCTCATAGGTTTTGTGGGGAGTAGGATTCATTATTCTTCGAATTGTATTGTGAAATCTATATATGTTAGCAGTAAGGAAATTACGAAAATATCGGTAATTTCCGTAATTCCCTGTAATGTTAGAGCTAAGAGGTCCATGCCTTAGTATAAATCGATGGACATATTCATAGAAATCATGAAGAAATTTCCGAGTAATATTCGAAATTTTCAGGTAATTATTAAGATTTTCTTGGCTTGGAGAGATACATTATTATCATGTTTTTGAGGAGCTTCTATTCATCGAAGGGCGGTGCCATTCGATATCAGTTTAGATTTCGGTAATTTCGGCGAAGTGTTGAAAGTTATCTTGAAATGTCTTGTTATTGTTCATTATAAAATGCTTTCACAATCGAGATTTCCGGACCGTAGAATATTTACTTTTTCGGGAATCCAAACATATCTATAAGAAAAACCTTTTCTTCTATTTAGATCATCTGATCATTAAAGTCAATAGTGAGCATTATTTTATTTAAAAAATAGGCTTCTTCTTTTATTCGCTGTGAGTGGAGATAAATAAATAATTTCTTCTCTCATTCACAAGAAAAATTTGTCAGTACGATCGCACAAGGGTTTGATATACACGTAGGGATACTATCATGAATCTGCATACTACAACTACGTGAGATCATCAGGAGTATCATCTAACTAATCGTGATTCTCTCTAAATATCGGGAAAACATTTGCACAGATTGTCAGTGTAAGCAATCATGTGCGATAGAATCTTATGATTAACCAGCCTAATAAATTCCGACAAAATCGCCGATTTTCCCCCAATTTTCATGAAATGAGAGAGTTTAGACGCTTTAATAATGCAAGGTAAAAACGAAGTAGTTACAGTACGTAAACGGCAATTTTTCAGCACAGCACATGTACAACGGTCGAATACAGCTCGTTTACACCGAACTGTAAAGGAACTCTGTGTACGGCTCTGTAATTGAATCGTAATGCGGTACACTGTATGGTCACCTGTTCCAGTCTCAAAATCACTGTACTTGAGACGTATACGGCTTATGAATGGAGGTGAAGTGTGAGTTTTCTCAACATTGAAACTTACACTGCATACCCAAATCTACATTTGCACCCTATACTTTTATTGACGTAGATGCTGTCTTCGTGACTCGAGGTTTTGAAAAAATTCAAATGGAATTATTTTCTTTCCCACAGGAATACAACAGTGATTCTTATCTATAATTGGTACAGTGATTACTATATCCAAATATAGGTCTTGTTTTATTATTATGTAATAACAAGACTTTTTTCTGTTAAGGAACAGACTAATAAATGATATTCCACTGCGCACATTACATATCTTTATCTTAAAATAGTGATGAGCATAAGTAAATTTCTTAAATACAAATAAGTGGTATATGTGACGTAAGATACTAAGGAATGTCATCTATATAGATCCATTGAACATAAGAGAGTGTAATATAATTTTACTTTTTGTTTTAGACGAAATATCAAACTCATCGATTGTAGAGCGACTAGTTGCAACAGCTGGTAAACAACATCTTCTGATGAAAAATGCCTTAGAGTACTGTTTTAATACATGTATAGAAGGCTTAAATATGACTTATAATTCAGTCGAAAAATTATACGATAAGGATTCTTTCTTTTTCATGCGCGTGTCTCGCATTTACTATTTGAAAGATGAAATAACACAACTCCAAAAAGATTACGATTTTCGCACACGACAAGCACTGGACCAATTCAATCAACAAAAAAATCATTGTAAAGAAATTCTACTTACAACGATTGATGAACTTGAATGTATTGTTAACACAAGTGAAATACGAAAATATTTACATGACTTGTCTGTTATGATATCTAACATCATTGACAATGATCCAATATTTTTACTATGTCGCACTAATAGTATTTGGCAATGGATATTAGAAATTCTATCGGTATCAACCCCAGATTTTGTAAATAATTTATCCGGTGGAGAAACATTTCAAGAAAAATTAAAAGAACTTATGAAAAAGATAAGAAGAGAGAGTTCAGAAGTCTCTGAACGGAAAGACAAGAATGTGTCCAAACTAGCTGAATATTTCAAGACTTTCATTGATAAAATTAACAATCTACAAACACACAGCACGCCACGTGCAATTAAAATAGTTTGGTATGATGCGTCTGTTGGAAATGAAGAAAATCAGTCATATGTTAAACGAATTCAAGAGAAATTTCCAAAAAATACATTTATACAATGTATTAATGAGGATTCTTTGATTCAATTAATTGTATCTGAAACTGCACATGAAATTATTTTAATAACATCAGGCAAAAACGGTAAATCAATTATTGATAAGATTGGTTATTATTGGAACCTTCAAGGTGTTATTATCTACTGTAGTAATGTGAATTATCATCAAATATGGACAAAGCCATATAAAAAAATAACATTAGTCACAAACCGATTTGGTGATGTTCTTGATGAAATTGATAATATTCTGGGTGGCAAGTCTTATTTTATTCTCAAAGGTTTTACATATGATGATATTTGTTTAAATTTAAAAGTGATACATAGTCCATATTATTACTTATCATCTGTAGCGACTGATGGTTTTGTCATCTCCAGTTTTAGTCAAGTTAATTTGGATACACAGTATCACAAGAGAATTATGCAACAATTACATAAAAAAATTCAAGAAAAAAATGTTTTTAGTGGCCAAGTTCCTATTCATTTTCAATTGAGTAATTTGGAGTCGGTGGCTGAACATTTCATTCAAGCCTTTGATACCAAATCATTAAAACCCATTGAACATCAAATAATCCATTTCTATTCACAATCAACACCATGTTTCTACAAGGTTGTTAACGATGTTTTAAATCTATTAGATGAAGAATTGATTGTATTAATTGGTGACTATATCAAAACGTTGAGATATGCATTGATTATATACACTGATGATGAGTCCAAAATGAAAAATAAGAGAACCCTAGAACTTTATAGAGGAATTTATTTAGATCAGCAATCAAAGGAAAACTTCTTAAAGAAGTTCAAAATTAATGATTATATTATATTTCCATCATTTCTATCAACAACAATGGGCAAAGCAACTGCTTTACAATTTTGCCAAGAAAATGGTGTTCTATTGAAAATAACTATTGATACTGAAAGCAGTCGTGGTGGTAATGCACCAAAATGCATCAAACAAATCTCAAAATTTTCCGAGGAAGAAGAAGTATTATTTAACTGTTTTTCAATGTTGAAAGTCAACAATATAACTGAAATCAAATCAAATTTTTACATTTATGAATGCTCTCAGGAAACACTCGGATAAACGGATTCGTCGATTGGCAAAATAAACATAATCCAGACTAAACTTTCCTCTATTCATTTCATTCAATGATTTCAGTTGTCTTCTATTCAAGGATAAATAGAGGTGTATCTATTGCAGTTTTCAGAGAAGAAGGAATCCACTATTGGAAAAAAAACGTCCGGCAGAGGTAAAATTGTTATCATCGTAGCTTTTGTAGGCTTCGAAAAATTTGAATCGCCAAGAAAGTATTATTGTTTAAGAAATTTAATGCGATAAATTATTCTAGTAATTACACCTGAGGTACGCTTTATGTCCATCGAGACTTGATAGTCTTTCAAGGTAGAAATTACTTCATCTAATATCATCAGATGATAACTGTTTAGATAACATTAACTGTAAGATAATCGAAACAATCCAATCATTCGAAGGGTGTGGGTTTGGATGTGGGTGTTCATTTGGGCATGAGCATGTGTGTGGAATGTGTGGCAGAAAAGAAGAGCAATACCCACACCCTACTCCTCTGAATTTCCATATCTTGAGCTTTTATCATTTCTTAAATTATTAGCTTATCAATAAATGTTGTATATTGAGTTTTATTCGATATAATTTACTAAAATATTACCTCAGATATGGTTCATTCTCAAAATCTCGTATGAATTTAGTTAAGATTTTAAGAACTTGTTCTCAGATTTTACTATCCTAAATGTTAGGATGTGAATATCGCAATCTGATATTCACATGTTAATGAGTCGTCTTTTCTAAGCATTATATTGTTTGTCATAAATATCATTTGCTAAAGTCATCTTCTTTCATCAATGTTTCGAATATGTGAATTAAAATCTAGAAAACTTTTTTAAATAATTATTTTTCAGTCCTAGAAAACACCATCATGATCGTATGAAACAAATAGTTTCGAAAGCATTTGTTTT